GTTGTGCACTTTACTTTTTTCACTTAATGATCCAAGTGTGATCCTTACTCCCCTCTTAGAAAAGCAGGGACATTTTGAGCTCCTTGATGGAAGGCTGGCACAGACTGAGGAGGCTCAGTCATGGATACCAGTTGTGGTTGGTCTTGACCATAATTATGGCAGATGATATTCTTCATCTGGTCCTCACTCATGCTGGCATTGAGTAAGAGGCCAGATGGCCTGGGCTTGAATCTTGGTTCTAACACTGACTACTTGTTGTTGTCAAGTGACATCAAGTTAGTTCTGACTAATATAGGGTTTCTGAGGTGCGGATGGTGAGTTTGAAGCTGATCATAAAGTTCAAACCACCTTGAGGTTGAATGCTTATCCTATGGTACACTAGGACTCTCTATAGTCCACTGTTGTTGTTGTGAAGTGTCGTCGAGTTGGTTCTGACCCATAGCGACCCTGTACAGGATTTCTGAGGAGCAGCTGGTGAGCTTGAACTGCCAACCTTGCAGTTCAAACTCAGGTATGGCATGGACAAATCTCTTCAGCCCTCTAAGCTTTGTTTTCTCTAAAGGCTGTACTTGGGGAAATAAGAGCCATGACACCAGTAGATATATGCACACCCATGTTCATCACAACATTATTCACAATAGCAAAAAATGAAGATAGCCTAAATGCTTATCAATGTAAGAATGAGTAAACTAATTTTGGTACATAGACTCAACAGAAAATTACACAAAACCCAAGAATAACGATGAATTGTTAAAATACCTTATAACGTGGATGAACCGAGAGGACGTTATGCTGAGTGAAATTAGGCAATCACAAAAGGAAAATATTGTATGAGACCACTTGTGTAAAAAGTCAAGAAAAGGGAAGGAAGAGGGAGTAATTCACTGGCTAGAGGATAGGCATGTGTTAATGTGGGTGATGGGGAAGGCAATATGTAACAAGAAGGATGTTGGTAGAAGAACCATGAAAGCCAGGGAAGACATGGGAAGGAGTGCAATAATCAAAGGAAGTAGAAGTAAATACGCTTATATTCACAACCCTGCAATAACAGTGCTTTACAGGTAGATCCATGGGTAGACACACAAGCTGAATGAGTGTGGGAGGGAGAGTGGGAATACACCCACAAACATATAAAGGTTTGACAGGATATTTGTACCTTTGTTGTTACCATGAATTTAGTGGAGCATACAGGGGACAAAATTATGAAAGCTTCTTAGATATCAAACACCATGAAGGAATGATTTGCTGGGCCTAATGACTTAGGACCAGTCTCAGGGGACAGCATGACCAATTGGCCTAACATAATCCACAAAGACAATGTTTGCATTCTACTTTGGTGCATAGTGACTGGGATTTTAAAAGTTCATTCATGCTGTCTAAGGTGCAACGACTGGTCTTGGCCTGTCCAGAGGAAAGAAGAGTGATGAAAACTGGATACTTGGAAATAATTCTTCCAATGGACTAATGGACCCCATGAACATCAGTCTCTATGGTCCTGAGACCAGAAGAACTAGACAGTACCTGACTACCACTGCTAACTGCTCTGAAAGGAAACACTTTAGAAGGTCCTGGATAGAGTGGGAGAAAATACAGAACAAAACTCAAAATCTTAAAAAAACAACTAAAAAACCCTAGGCTTAGTGGTCACATAGAGACTGGTGGAACCCTATTACTATGGCTCTTGGTTGCTCTTCAGATCTGGAACTGAACTCACGCTCATGACTCAAATTTCAGTCAAGCAATCGATAGATATATAGGGAGGATAACACCACTGTTGAGGTATGAACACCATAGAATAGTCAACACTTTGAGATCAAAAGGGCAGCATTTACCCATGGGCAAAATTCAGACACATTGAGGAAGAAGGAGGAATGGAAATAAGAGATACAAGATGGATGTTACCCTGAAGGGACTGCAGTCATTGAGATGAAATGAAGTGTGTGATATGTTGAGTGGAAAACTGATGATTTTCTCTGTAAACCTTCACTCAATTCACAATAAAAAGTTAAAGGAAATAAATATTAAGATTGGACAACTTTACAAGACCTATTACCTCCAACAGTCTGGGATGGTCTGACCAATTTCTATTGGTAACAGAGAAGGGTCTGTGACCCAGCTTTGTAGTCATTGGTGCCTTTCTTTCTTCCTCCAGAAGGCCTTTCCTAAACCACTGCTACCCAAGGCTGGACTAGGAGAACATCTGGATTAGCATAGCACTTCTAACCTGAAATACGCCATTTCCTGGTCTAGCTCAGGCTTCTCACATGGAGCTTCCAAAGGTCAAACCCAGTCTGAAGATCCAGAGCTGCTGGCGCCTAGCAGACAGTGCTCATCAAATAGCTGTATGCACGTGACTCTCCTCACACACAATGTGCAAAATGCTGTCATATCATCGACTTATTACCCATTTCTTTTAGAAAGATATCTGAGGTTCCCAGCAGTGAATCCCTGTGTTCCTAGCTGGGTTTCAAACCCAAATGCTTTTCTGAGAACCATATCATGACACTATTACATACATCCAGCCAGGCTCCTTCAGTGATCAGGATTCCCCTCTTAGAGCCCATCTTCCTTCTCTTCTTAGCTGGTTAGTCCCCATTTGCATCTCACCATCCACTGTTTGCCCTCCTCTGAGCTCTGCAAGGCTGACTTCTGGCTATTATACTTCCCTGGCTCCTTTGAGCCCTAGCTTCCAGTTTTGTCTGGTTAATGGGATCACTAGGTGGAAGGAGAGGGCTACAATTTCCCTTTCAGCCCTCTCTGCTTCCTCCCAATGACTGTGTCTACTCAGGCCTCAGTTCTTCTGGGCCAGGCCTTCTCCTTGTCCTCAGTTTTGGCTGGTTTACTCTAAAGTTCCTCTCTCCACTTGCCCCTTCAGGCCAAGTGTTGGTAATCAGCTTCCCCCTGTCGTTAGCTTGGTAGCAACTTGTGGTTCCCTTAACTCTGCCATCATCTCCACAAATAGTCCTTCCTTTAAACTCCTTTTAAACCCTCCTCTTTAAGCTTTCCTCTTCTTGAAATGCACTTCTTTGAGTGGGCCAGCAGTTTATTTTTAGGATCCTGATTGCTACACGGCCCCATTCTCATCTCCTTTCCCCTTTCACTCTCTTCTGATGCATTGAGAAGTTACAAAGCCTGGCCAAACCAAGACTTCAAAGACTCCCCACACTCCCATTCTCCAGGGAGAGGGGTCTAACAACATAATAAACACTGGTAACTTTATTCATGCCTTAAGCACCTATAATCAGATAGTCTTGAGAGGGGCGTGTAGTGGTGAGTAAGGAGACTCAGTGCTGCCCTACTTGGGGCTGACTGTTGAGTGACAGCTTATGTCACAGAATTGACTGTGGGAAAATCTCTGCTTCTCCCTGGATTGTTTCATTGCACTTGATGGTCATCTAGATCTAAGGTGCATTCTCTGATTTCTGCTGACACAGGGGATCTCACCAATGGTCAGCAGAGGAAGAGCTGTCCTTCAGTACTCCGGAAAGCTCAGGTTCCTGAAGGCCACTCAGCTTCTTACTTTAAGAGCAAGTGTTTCCTCTGGCTAAAGGCGCACAAGGTACCAGCCCCATGATGACCAAGGGGTGGGCACCTGACCTCCCAAGCCCTGTAGTCCTCCTCTAGCACAAAGAGCATTTCCGGTTGTCTGCATATTTCTGCTTTTCCAACAGCTGACTGGATATTTGTACATTCATGGCATGTGGCCATGAATGCTGCTGCCTGAGGGGACTGTGAGTGACACATTAGCCATGGTTGGCTCACAGCTTCTCTGCTTTGAAGTTGGCCAGGATTGTTTGGAAACCAGATTTCCAATTAATTCAATTGAGATGCCTATTTTCTCTGCTGGAATTTCATGCTGAAATTAAATTAGTCACCATCGATTATGCAGGGGCATTTTTAAAAAAGGAAATGATTTGAATAGCATATTCTTTAGAATTGAAGGTCCATATTTGCTTTTCCTAGTTCAGAATGATGATTTTTTCCTAACCAACTGCTCCCTCCTCTCAGTATTGTTCTCCTCAGGTGTCTCTCTCTCTCTCTCTATATATATTTTTTTTCATTAAGTTTTCATCTCCCTCCACCTTAAGTATGGGCGATGAACAATCAGGCAGGAGTTGTGACAGTATAGGATAAAATAAGCATTGGACTGCGAACCACAAGGTCAGTGGTTCAATCCCACCAGCTACTCCTCAGAAACCCTATTCAGGGTCACTATGAGTCAGCGTAGACTTAACAACGAAATACAATATTTCTTCTGGTTACTGGTGTGAGAAAATTATGGTGTAGACACATACAGGAATATCATGCAACTATCTACATCGTTCTGGTGTGGCGTTGCGGGTTAATGCACTGGACTGCAAGGTTGGTTTGAACTTCAAGTTTGGTGGTTCAAGCTCACCAGCTGCTCCTCAGAAACTTTGTACAGGGTCGCTATGAGTCAGAACAGACTCCACCACACTTAACACCAACAACAATCTACATCCTCATGCTGATGTGAATTTAGAGGCATATAAATAAAATAAGGATCTAGTAAGAATCCATATCATTCTATTTTATGTAAAGAAGTTATTGTATATCCCACAATATTAACAGTGATCATCTCTGTGGGGTTAAGGGTAATGATAATTTTCTCCTTTACGTTATCTGTATTTTCTACATTGTTTTCAATAGCCATGTGTCTCTTCTACTAAGTTAATAAACTTCATTTTTAATAGAAGAGAAATGCTCCCAAATTATCAGCTTGTTATGATAATTATTTAAAAATATGGGTCTTGAGGTTATTCCCATGTAAACAGAGAAAAGGACAGTCAATTCCTGGAAAATCTGAGAATAAAAACCAAACTGGCCCTCTCCACCCTCACATTTCCACTGCCCCTCATTTTTGTGGCCTGTAGAAAGTAAAGCATGCATCAAGGGCTCTGTGCAAAGCAAAGTTCAAGAACCTGTTTGAAGTCCATAGAGGGTCCGCGGATCAGCCAGGTGAAGGGGAGCCAACTTACCTGGAACATGCAGGCCTCTCCCTGGGCCCGGAGCTGGCCCACAAGCACATAGGTGGTAAGCCCGGCTATGATGGGGAGCAATGCCAGTAAGCAGGTGAGAGCCCAGCACACACTGCTGTTCCTGGCTTCCAGCCTGGCTCTGGCTCTGGGCGGGCCGCCGAGGTCCACAGGCAGCATTTCCACACAGGCTGTCTGCCCGAAGCCCAGTTCCTCCCCCATGCTTCTGCTGACTCTTCCTCACCAGAGAGACCCCCCATTAAATAGAAGACCAGCTTCGCATGGTGGGTGAATTAATCACTCTGCCTACTCCTCCCCCTTTCCTCTCCCCATCCACAATAAGCTGTGGCCCTGCCCTACCAGGGAATGCACCGCCTACAACAGAAACCAAGTTTGGTTTAAGTAGGAAAAAAAAAAAAAAAAGAAGAAAAGCTTTCCCAAGCATATTTATACACAGTGTGCTCATGTGCTCCTTCATTTACAGAAGGAAGTTAGGAAAGTCCCCCAAGGAGGAGATCAAGAATTCATCAAGTCAATGGGCTGACCGGTTAAAATGTACCTGCTTCTTGTACTGGAGTTCTGCCAGCTGCGCAGGTCGGAGAGCGTGCTGCTTCTGGAAGTGAAAGTGAGGCATGTGGTTTGCAACCTGGGAAATGGAAATGCTAAGTGCTGTCAAGCCTTACGTGTTAGAAACTCAGAGGAATGCATTCCCATTTTACAGATGGGTGTACTGAAGTTCTGAAGGATCAAGGGATTGTCCCTAGATCACCAAAGAATTAAGATAGAAGAGCTAGGAACATGAACTTGTTCTTCTAAATCCTGAGTTGGATACTTGTCTCTACCTTACAACTAAATGTTCATGTAAAGAATGTATATATCTCCAGCTTGTGTTGAGTAATTGTCTAAGCAAAGAATATGAAGACATAGAGGTGATTGTCTATGAATGGAGGGACATTGACTCCTAATTAGTTCAGTGTTAATTGGTTAACTGAGAATCCGTGACATGTCTTGCCCACAGTTGGGTGTGGTATGGGGCCACAATATCTAATAAAGGATAATATTTATTAAGCACTTACTTTGTGCCTGCCACTGTTCTGAGCTAGTTAAGTGTATTAATGAAGTTATCCGATCTTCAGTATAACCTAGTCACATTTGACAGATAAGGAAATTGAAGCATAGAGAGTAAGTGTAAATCAGGATTTGAACTCAGGTAGGCTGGAGGCACAATGGTTAAGTGCTTGGCAGCTAAACAAATAATTGATGGCTTTGTGGGAGACTTGGCAATCTGTTTCCATAAACATTACAGTCAAGAACACCCTATGGGCAGTTTTCCTCTGTCACATGGGGGACAGCAACAGGTTGCCTCCAGAGTCTCTTAATCATTATGCTTAGTATGAGGTACTGCACTTGATGCGTTACTACACTTGAATGCAAGATAGTGTTCTAGGTACTGGGGGTAAAACAGTGTTGAGGACAGATATTAATCCCTGTCAGTAAATAAAATAAGCTAAGTTTAAATCATGTTAGTTGGTTTTAAGTGCCTCAGAAAACATAATAAATAAACAAACAGGAAAAGGAGAGAAGGCATTAACTAAGTTGCAAGGTGGTCAGTAAAGTTTTCATTGACAGGAGATAGTTGCGTAAAGATTAGAAGAAAATGAGGAGAGAGCAATGTGGGTGTCTGATAGTTGAGTGTGTCTGACTTTGAAACATATGGTATGTTCAAGGAGAATCAAAGTGGCCCCAGATGCATCCGCGAGTGAGGAGGAGAATGGGGGCCAATGGGATCTGGGATGGCTTTGAGGAGGTTGACCAGTACTGTTTCTTAGGCCAGGAGTAGGTCATGGCTTCCTCTTCAGTGAAGTGGGGAGTCTTGGGAAGATTTAGGACTTTTCTTTAAAAGGATCAACCTGGCTACTGTGTGAAGAGTAGCCTGAAAGGAGAAGAGACCAACTTGAAAGCAATTATCCAGGTATGGATTCACACCCTGAGAACAATCAACCACCTGAGATCAAAAGGGCATTTGCCCAGGGATAAAGCTCAGAAGTCAGGAAGGGATAAGAAAGAAGGACAAATGTGAACAGTCAACACAGGGAGGCTGTGGGAAGAGTGCTGCTACATGGTGTGCATTACAATCAATTTCATGAATCAAAATGTGTTTGACTTGTTGTATGGAAAACTAATTTGCTCTGTAAATTTTCACTCTAGTCACAATAAAAAATAAATAAATTTCTCCAGGCTCAAGTATTGTTGTTAAGTGCCTTCGTGCAAGTTCCGACTCATAATGACCCTGAAGAGAGTCAGAACTTACAACCCTGAAGAGCATTTGGTGGGTTTGAACCACTGATCTTGCGGTTCAAACAGACCTTGCAGTCAAGTGTTTAACCTACAGCGCCACACTAGGACTCCAAGTGTAGCGGTTGTTATTTGGATAGTTTAAAAATAAGACTTGCAGCTTTCTTGACCTGCCATTAAGAAAAAAAAAAAAAAATCCAGCCAAGTCATGATAGAGTTTTGGATTAGGGTGGAAGTAGCAAAGGTCATAAGAAATGGTGGATTCTGGGTGTATTTTGAAGGAAAGCAGATAAAATTTCTTACTGGGTTAGATATGAGATGAGAGAGAATAAGAGGAAGACTGAGTGCTAGGAGTTTGGTCTGTGAAGTGGAAGGACTGAAGATACACTTAATGGAGATGGGAAGAGTCTGGGAGAAAGCCTGTGAGCTCAAGTTGAGTCAGTACCATTTATAATGACTTTTCCAAGACCAAGTGGTGATGACATGTAAGCAGTTTCATGATGAGTCTGGGGTCCTGGGGAAAGACTTGAGTGAGATACTAATTTAGGAGGGATGCTTAGCATGGCTCCTGTCACATAGTACTTCTAAGTGGGGGTCCCTCTTAAGTTTATCCAAAGGCCTTGGGGCCAAATTTTAGATTAGAAGTTAAAGGAGGCATCTTTCAGCCTAATGTTAAGATTATGTTGATGCTATTCAAAGATAAATTACATTGCTTCCAGAGGTGGGAACTGTCTGTTTCAAGGGTAAGTACAGGATCTGAACAACCACTTATTGATGAAATTTGAGAAGAAATTCTGTTATTGCAGAGGTGATTGGAATTGATGTTTTTTACAGGCATCCATCTTACTAATGATTGGATGACTCCCAATCATTTCAGGCCTCATTCTCTCCATCTGTAAAGTGGGGCCATGGAGGTAAGCCCTGTGATCCTGAGAAGGCTTGTGGCATTTATGTTTTGAGAGTCTTTGCAGTTCTCTGTGTCTTCCCATTGTCTCCGATTGTTCCCCGCACTTTCTCTGCACATCTTTGCTTATGTCCTTGTTTGCTTAGTCTTTTTCCAGACGGTGCCATAGAAATTTCCCTTTGATCTTCAATGCTAGATTAACATGTACAGTTGGCATGGGTCGGCTGGCTTTCCTGGTTTCTTCCCAAATTGGGAAAAAGGATAATTTTTCAGTAATTATTTCTTTACATCAAAGTATGTTTTGTCTTGTGCTGTAGAGTCTGTTCCAACTCATAGAGAACCTGTATAGGGTTTCTGAGGAGCAGCTGGTGGGTTTGAACCATCAACCTTTCATTTCAAAATGACCTTGTAGCCCAGTGCCTATCCTATAGCATCACACCAGGATTCCTAATTAGTAACCAAGGATAAACTGTTTATACTACCCAAGGACAATTTGAATATATTATTTTGGTTAAGTGCCCTTTGAATATATTATTGTTAAGTGCCGCTGAGTCAGTCCCAACTCATAGTGACCCTGTAATAGGGTTTCCAAGGAGCAGCTGGTGAGCTAGCATTGCCAAGCTTGCAGTTAAACACCACCTTGCAGTCTAGCACATTAAACCCACAACTCCACTCCTGGACTCAGAATATATTATTGATGTACTTATATAACTACTTAGAAATGTAAAAGCCATTATTAGTTCATAGACTATACAGAAACAGGGGCGAGCTGAGTTTGGAATGTGGGCAGTAGTTTCCCAACCTCTTCTCTAAACCCACCAGAAACTGCTATTAACATTTTAGAATATTTCCTTCTAGTTTAAATTTCTACGCTTAAAAAAAAAAATTAAACGTGGTTGGGATTATGTTATATACTTCATTTAATTTCTGTCCAGCTCTTTTCGTAACATTTTAGTAATAAAGTTGTTAAGGATTGAGTAATCGTCTTGCAAATAACATTTGCAGTCTCCTTAAACCCCAAACCAAAAGCCTATCGCCGTTGAGTCAATTTTGACTTTAGCTATACTCTACCTACTTGCTGTGCATTCAGATCATTTACTAGTCAGTTTATAAATTAAGCATGGATCATTTTCTTTATTTTTGGAATTTCCTTGCGTGTAATTCTGGAAGGAGTATCACCAAGGCAAAGGCAGGGAACAAACTTGAAGCTCCTCCTTCATAAGCGTTGTTGTTGTCACGTGCCATCTAGTCGGTACAGACTCTTAGTGACCCTATGTACAACAGAACGAAACACTTCCGGGTCCTGTGCCAACCTCACAATCATTGCTACATTTGAGCCTTCGTAGGGTTGGTGCCTTTTACTTTCCCTCCAGATGTAAGGGAAAGTGCACATATCACCCCAATTTGGCAAAAATTTTAAAACAAGACAGAATTTATATTACCAAAAGAAAAGTTAATTGTGCCTTATTAATTTTGGAGGGACCAGTATCTGGAGAAGGACATCATGCTTGGAAAAGTGGAGGGTCAGCGAAAAAGAGGCCCAGGAAATCTCAGCAGATGCTTGTCATCAGGAAAGGCTGATGGTGCATAACTGGTGTGGCCATACATTATGCAGTGGTCCAGATGAATGAATGACAGCAACATACTTCAATCTTAGCAGTGAAAAAGTAAGTTCTTGAACATTATAGACAGTAAACATTGCATAAAGTTAAAAATAACATGTTGTTGTTGTCAAGTGCCGTCCAGTTGGTTCTGACCTATACCACCCTGCATAGGGTTTCTGAGGAGCTGCTGGTGAGCTTGAACTACCACCCTTGCAGTTCAAACCAACATTGAAGTCCAGCACATTAACCCACAGTGCCACACCAGGACTTTAAACATAATACATAGATGTGATCAAACCAATTGGCAATGAGCTGATTTTGACTTATGGCAAACCTATGTGTGTCAGTAAAACTGTATTCCATAGAGTTTTTGATTACTGAGTTTTTAGAAGTAGATCACCAGACCTTTTTTTCTGAAG